CGATACAACCACAATCGAGATCCATTGTGCCTATAAAAAATAGTATGTGTTTGATACTCAGTTGAACTTTCATTATATTATTGAAACCAAGGTTACCTGACCGAACGTTCGGGGTCCCCCGGGCGAGAGCAGGTTAACCGAGCACCCATTTTTCATGCCCATTTATAAGAAAATCAGACAGTCATTTTAACAACACTTCACACCAATCTATAAAGTGCACTTCTTACGACCCCATCACAGAAAAAAACCCTAAAAAAAACAATTAAAAACATATAAAACAGCAAGTCAAAGGTGCATTTCCATGAAATTTGGCCAAAAAAAAACTCGACCAATTTCAGAAATTTCAGAAATCTTAATAGCGCAAATTCTAAAACTCCAAATAACCCCAAATTTCATATACGGCAACCCTATCAAAATGCATATATAGCAAAAACTTGAAATTAAAAAAAAAAAAAAAAATTGAGCCCCAAACCCTAATTTCAGAAATTTCAATCCTGAAAACCTGATGCCCCATTAACCTCTTGTGCCTCGGGCTGGCCCCCGAACGTTCGGGCGTTCGGGGTCTTATTCGGGGGCCGAACACCTCCAGGTTTGGCCCCCGCCAAAACATTTTTTATGACTTAAAAATACGTTTTTTTTGGGAATGTTTTTTTGTGAGTTCTTTATGATGTAACCTACATGCCTATAAATTTCGAAGATATTCTGCTAATCCAAAAAAACATTAAAAATCGTCAAAGATGGGGGTGTCAAAACTTGCTCGCTCACTCACTATTTTGTTTTTTTTTTCACTTTTAACTTTTTGTTTTCACTTTATTTCGGGGCCTAAAACATTTTATTATTTTTTGAAAACTTTTTAATGAGTTATTGATTATGTAAACTACATAGCTGTAAATTTTCAGGGCATTTGTCAATGCCAAAAAATAATTAAAAATCTGCAAAGATAGCGGTGTCGAAAAAGTGTTGGCACACTCACTTACTTTAATTCTCTTTTTATTTTTTCTTATTTTTATCATAGTGTTTATTTTCTGTATTTGATTTTTAATTCAAATTTGATAAAGAATTTAGATGTAGTGTTCCTAAAAATATTGTTTAGTTTATTGTTCTCCATAACATATTTGTTTTTCGGAATTTTTTGACAACGTTTTTTTGTTTTGTTTTTTTTTTGGGGGGGGGGGCCTCCCGAACGGCCGAACACCTTTCGAAGGGGTCCCGTACGTTCGGGCGCTTGGGTTCGGGCGTTCGACACGTCCCGAACGCCGCCAAACCTGATTGAAACCTCTATTATAAACACGTAATAAGTAGGGAAATACATAAGTTGTTCAATCTTTGCGAAAATGAATAAAACTAATTTGTTTAACATATTATTTATTTTGTGTGAGGTCAAAGTTTTATTTATTAAAAAAAAATGCATTTTTTTAAAAAAATATAAATTAGTACACCCTACATTTCATTAAATTAATCTTATTCGATAAAAACCTAGGCTACCATCCGGGCCGCCCGGGTCATCCTATTTTTCCGGACGGTCCGGTGATGCAAGGATCACAGAAGGTTCCAACAAAATAAATAAATAAATAAATATAAATATAAAAATTATAAAAATAATTATGTCATCAAAAAAAATAAACTAAACAACTTTTATCGCATAGTCACATTGAAGTTCCTTACCAAATTTAAAATAAAAATATAAATTAATTTTTAATGTTTAATTTTTTAATTTTTAATTCATTTTTTCTCTGGCCGGGCAAGTAGTCATGAACCACTCTTGTAGCATAGATACAAACTTTATATCATACTTGATTCACTAATAGTTACTCAAGTGTACCACCCAACTAGACAAATTTTATCGACGTTGCTAATTTATATAAAATTTTAATTCACTGTTTCAATAGTAAGATAATACTTTGAATGTTTCCAAAAAGAATAACTCATAAAATTATGAAAGTTGTTAAGCATTCATGTATCATTTTTTATATGTATATGATGATACAAAAAATATTGTTAGTGGTGAATTTGGTGGGGGGCAATTCATGAGGAATGAACAATCGTATCTTGCGGAGGACCGGTAGTTGTTTGTAGGAGGTAGAGGAGTCCACGATCCTTCAGCTTAATATTTCTAAATTGAAACAATGTGGGTACAATTTTATCAAATAGATGCGGACTTCGAATACACGACATGCGCTTTGTATTTGAATACAATACATATTTTTTTAATTCAAATGTTGCAATTTTTTTTAAATTATAATAAAACATTAATTTTCTTTTTTATAGGTTAGCACGTGTCATTATGTTCCTTACCACTGACATGCTGCAGAACTCTCCCTCTCTCTCTCACACATACACATACACACACTTACGTACTCTCACATACACATGTGTATACATGCAAACATATGCACACTTCCCCTTTCCCCACCAAAATAAAAAAATTCACTTCATACCACTAAAGGAGATGATATGAACATCCTCATATAATGGACTTGCGATAAAATATTAATGGCTATAGGTGGGGAGTGACATCTGTTGGAAACCTGGTCCATGAACATCATGAATAAGGCACCAGTCGGACCCCCCCCCCCCCCCCCCCACTATTGAAATTGTGTATAGTGAACATGAAAAATCATAAATATAGCATAATCACTACCTTACCCTTCTTTAGCCACATCTACAATCAAACTACGGGCTGCGCACCGTGCTCTCACGGTAAGTCAATTGTTCTACTGAAGTACAACTAATATATTATATTCGTATCCATTGTCGAGAAATTAGAGGTAAATGAAAAATATATTTAACCTTATTCCAAAGAACTTGAAGTTGAAACCAATTCATAAAAACATATACTCAATATAAAATACATCCATTTTAACAATCACAAAAAATGTAAATAAATGAAGAAAACATGCTGACATGTGATTTTTTAACTTAATTTGCAAGTGTGCAGTAAGTTGGCTCATTCTATTCCATTTAAGTTGTTAGCATGTCGAACACACGAGGCCGATTCCCTGGTGCATGAAGTGCCAAGTAGGTGGCGTAATACCTTGTGTAGAGGCAAAAAGAGCAAATGATTGATACCCTTATGACTCATTTCAAAGGTGAAAGAAACACACAATACCACTTCTTTAATAAACACTTTTTTTTTTTCTTGATATTTTTGAACTACTACCATCTTCCCTCGAACATAACACATATGCATTGTAAACGAATACAACGCACACCGTGTGTTGTATTCGCTTACAACGCATATGCGTTATGTTCGAGTGAATGAGACCAATTTTGCTTGCACAAGGGGGTTGAGTCCACGCTAAGTAGGCTCAGTTCTAGACCACGGTCGGGGGCCTAAGAGTCTTGGCAAAAAGGAAAAGGTAAAGTAGTGACGTACCTTTCCATGTTTTGGGTTGAGTTTCATTCCTTTCCCCTACTTGGGCACTTGCTCCACTCCTTAGTAAATGTGCAAAATGCGAACGAATCTTCTGCTAGACCGTAGACAAATACAACCCCCTTCTTTTTGTCTCGGTGACCACCGTTACGGTAGTGTAGTGAGACCTTGGTGAGTGGCTTTTTTATTTTTCTATTTCCCTGGCCGCACCACATTCTTGGCTGTCAAAAATGCCACTTTCTTGGCAGTCAGAAAGCGCCTTTGCGCTAAGAGAGAGAGAGAGAGAGAGAGAGAGAGAGAGAGAGAGAGAGAGAGAGAGAGAGAGAGAGAGAGA